TGTATAGTGGTGCAGTGTATGTGTGTATAGTGGATGCAGTTTATGAGTGTGTATAGTGGTGCAGTGTATGTGTGTATAGTGGATGCAGTTTATGAGTGTGTATAGTGGTGCAGTGTATGTGTGTATAGTGGATGCAGTTTATGAGTGTGTATAGTGGTGCAGTGTATGTGTGTATAGTGGATGCAGTTTATGAGTGTGTATAGTGGATCAGTGTATGTGTAAGTAAAGCATGCATTGTGCTTGTTTTACTATTTAATTTTTTCTTCAAGATTTACAGAAATGTATTTCCCACCTCTCTATTTCTTACCTCTGACAAGGGAAGCTGGTACACAACATTCCCTAATAGTCCGGTGGTACTCTAGAGACAACAAATAAAGATTTGGGAAAATGAATTAGATGAACCAAAAGAGGCAGGAAAATGGGCCAATCAGTGTGCTGCAATATATATATATATATATCTATATATATATATATATATATATATATATATATATATATATATATATATAGATATATATATAGATATATATATATATATATATATATATAGATATATATATATTTATAGATATATATGTGTTATAATTACATCAAGGAAGGTGGAGTGCATTACTATTTTTGTTTATATATATATATATATATATATATATATATATATTCAGAAGCAAAATATAATTATAATATGTTGCAGTACATTAATTGGCCCATTTTCTCTTTTTGTGATATCAAGTTATTGCATTTATAATATATTCAATTACAGCATGCTGTTCAAGTGTTGCGTGTTTCCAAAAATGAAAATTATAGACCCGTAACATTCTTAGTGAGCTCATGTCAGGTCTAAATGGCTCTAAATATATGAACTATATTAAGCATATATACTTCAGTGAATACAAATACAAAAAGAAAAGTCCTGCGCTCACTCCCATCACCCCTGATCGGCGGCAACAACCACAGTACACACCAGCTCCAATACATTTAGTAAAAACCAAAGGAAAAAAAGTTACCTGCACTCTCTTCTTAATCCCTATGTATATTTAAACAAATGGAGGTCATTTAGTTACTCCAATGGCCATTGGAGGGAATGCCCGCCTGCCAACGTCAAGGCAGACCCCCCTAGACAGGTCCTACTCTGACCCTTCACCTTGCTTCCTTGAGCTTCTGGCAAAGACAGAAAGGGGTATTTTTTTTTATATACACCCCTACATACTTATTAACCCTTAATAGGGAACACATGGGAATGGGCGGCAGCATTGTGACCTAGCTGTGTGATACAAAAAGTGAATATAAAAAAAAAAAAAAGTCCTGCACTCACTCCCATCACTCACAGTACACATCAGCTCCAATACATTTATATATACTTCAGTGATTTGAGATGGTCATGGTGTCTGGAGTCTTTTTGGGTTGTTTCACTCTTTTTACTCTGGCTGAAAGCATCTCAACCAATGAAGTCTCAACCAATGAATGTCGACCACCTTGGCTTTCGGCTTCTGCCGCTCTGCAAAACCCATAACCATAGTGGGGGCCCATTTGAGGAGGGAAACTGTTGCTATACAGTTTGTCCCATTATGGGGAACTGGGCCAGCGTAGTCTTGGCATAATAACCACTACAGCGGGTTGCAATGGTTATGATGAAATAAATAGATAACCATCAGCAACTCACTAGAGTAAGACCAAATAATGTCAGATGTGGATGCTCCAGCATTCAGATGCTGACAATGTGCAGGTTAACACTATAGTACCATATTCATCGCATTTGCCTTGTACTGGTTGGATAATACAGTGGTATGCTTGGAAATGTTCATTTATGTGATAAGTATAACACAATGTGGTTGAATATAATATGGAACATGATTTAGATGGATGCCAATCACTGATAGAAACACTATAGTCACCAAAACAACTTTAGCTTAATTAAGCAGTTTTGGCGAATATATCATGCCCCTGCAATCTCACCTCTCAATTTTGCTATGTAGGAGTTAAATCATTTTGTTTATATCCTGCATGTGACTACCTTCCTAAACACTTCCTGTAAAGAATCATCTAATGTTTATACTTCCTTTGAACTTTATACTTATTTATTTATTACAGATTTTGTTTAATTTAGAATTTCTTATCTCCTGCGCTGTTAATAGCTTGCTGGAACCTGCAGGAGCCTCCTGTATGTAATTAAAGTTCGATTTGCATATAAAGATTACAGCTGATTAAAAATGAAACCACTTTGTTTTCTTGCAGGCTGTGTCAGTTACAGCTAGGGAGGTTTGGCTATGGCTGCATAAACAGAAACAAAAGTGATTTAACTCCTAAATTGCAGAGAATTAAGCAGTGAAACTACTCAAGCTAAGGTTGGTTTGGTGACTATAGTGTCCCTTTAACTCCTTTCATGATATCACAAATTTGTTTATGCCTTACTGTAGTAGACTATAATTTAGCATCCAGTCTTGCCATATTGTCATTCATAACATTCACTGAATGCCTGTGATGCAGGTGTTTATATTGTAGTATGGTGGGGAATGATCTCACCAGAGGAGATTCAGGCTGCAGTGAGAACTTGGCCTTGGTGTGGATCGCAGGTATGTTTTTCCTTTCCTTCTGGGGGGGAGCTATTTTCATTAGTTTCACCTTTTTTTGGGCTGAGGAAAAGAGTTAGACAGAATAAGTCTTCTGATGGTAAGTATAATTTTTACAAGTATTCATTTTATTACCCCTTTGCTATTATTAGGTGGGAGTAGGTAGGGTTATTTATTTTTAAGGGAGGAAGCTAGGGGACTGGGAACACCCAATCACAAAGGACATGGGTTGGACATCTCACCACAAGGGTTCTGTCCACCCCCCATTATTTATTTTAATGTACCCCGCCCAATGCAGAACCTGGTGTTTCACAAGACTGGAGAGAATAGCTGTGTAGTTGCTGGTTTTAAACATCTAGTAGATATGACCCCACCTGCCGCATGGGCAGATTTCAAAACTCCCTCATGGTAATATGGGGGTAGTATTTACCGCCACAGGGTTTTTGTTCATTTTTAAAAACCTATTTACCAAAGTGGCTGGCTACTATGCACTAACACATAATTAACCCTCACACCACTATAGGTTTCTAACTACTTCTAGAGGGCAAACAGTTGCTTTAACTCTTGGCCCAGATTTAAAGCATTTAGGCCTTGATGTTAACTTTTAGGGTTTGTATTTCAGGCGATTTTAACTGAGTATTGTTTGACTGAAATCCATACATAATTCAGACCTGGATGGAGTAGAACGGGTTTGCTCCATTCGGTATGAGAATTTTTCAGTTTGGCTGTTTGGGCAAGACGAAGGTAGACACATTTGAAATAATCTCTACTTTGGCAATTAATACTGACAATCTGTAAATTGCTAGTTATCACTGTATAATTCATTGTATTAGTGAATGGATCAGTAAATATAAAAATGCCTCTGACAGTGATAGTCTATTTTCATGAGTTTAGCATTAAACTAAAATTATGTTTTCTCCACTTTGCAGATTTATATAACTATTGCAAATTATGACTTGAATCACAAAATAAATATGTCTAATTTTAGGTATCTGTTTAAGTAATAGTCAGGAACTAAACTCATTGTGGTTTATTAGACACCAAACCAGTGAACTGAAAAATTTAATTGCAAAATTTAGGCAAAAATTGTTGATTTAAAAAACAATTTTTACCTTAATTTTGAAAATTAGTTTTCAGTTAACTACAACACAAAGTATGGGAAATAAACCTAAAAATATTTAGCAGTTGTTTTTTGTAATTTCTATTGTTATTGTGATTTCTTTTTTTCTTCTTGCAAGTATAAGGTAAATTCATAATTGTTTTGTAATAATATATTAAATTGCAACATTTTACATGGCCATGTTGACATATAATAGGATATGGAAATCTAACCTATTATCCCAGTTACTAATCTTACCACTAGATGTCACTGTTTGCCAAATCCCAATTTAAATCTGAAAAAGAGTTGAAAAATATTTTGTAAGGCTAAGCCTTAGATCATCCCAGTTAAGTTTAACAAGAAATAGGCTGGTATATATATATATATATATATATATATATATATATATATATATATATATATATATATATATATATATATATATATATATATATATATATATATATATATATATATATATATATATATATATATATATATATATATATATGCCAGCCTATATATATATATATATATATTGTGAAATTGCAGCATTTGAATCTAAAACATAGGATAAGAGAACAAAAAATAATATAATCAGGACTGCAGAGATTTGACACTTTGTGTACATATATTAATTTTGGAAGAGCTTACCACTTCTGTGCAAACAGTTTGTCTTTTGTTAAATCCTGCAGTTTCCTAGTGTTTACATAACTATTTGTCATACATTATGAAATAAAGAATTAAAAAAATAGTTGGAAACTACTCAGTATAATGAGGTTTATAATACTCCAGTTACTCTGTTTGTGCAGTTTAAAATTTAGTTTGATCCAATTCGGTATAGAAATGTACTTTAGAATACAAAAAGTTCTGAGCAAAATTTTTTTTTGTAAATATTGAATACACAATGACCATGGTCAAACATTAGATTCATCTAAATGATGGAGAGGCAAAACATTTTTCAGTAATAAAAATGGTTAAACATTTATTGTGTTAAAATACCCAAGGTGGCTCTGTCCACGCTCTATAGAGCTACTCTTAAAGGCGTAATGAGTCTCCTGAATGTACAGCTGTATTATAAAGCAGCTGTCCTGGATGGCTTACTGTCCATAAATCAGATAATTGACCCACCTCAATGGGTAAACATAGAACAACACTGACTATCACAGAGTGACATGAACAGCATAGCTTGGTTGTTGCCCCATCAAAGACGAAACACATCACAGGCACTCCCTGCCACAATAGCAATGCTAAAGGTATGGGATGCCACCCGCAAACTCCTGTGCAGCTACCACCCGACATCCCTTTCGACTCCCCTAAAAGTACTGTATACTTTAATCCCTGATTTTAATTTCAAAGTTTGGAACAGGTGTGGAGTTAACTACCTGAACAATTTTCACATCAATGGCAAACTGTCCACATTTCACCACCTGAAAGACAAATACACCTTGCCCAATACCGCATTACACTCCTACTTACAATTATCATCCTGGTGGAACACCCACGTACCAGCATCACTAAAGCAAGGGTCAATGACTCTTAAAAACTCTTAGAAGTTCGATATGGCACTACTGCAAAAAAAACAAAAAAAAAAACATTTCTACTATGTACACATTATTACTCCCAGAAGAGGGGATAAGGTCCCTGCGATGCATACAGACTTGGGAAAAGGACCTAGGCATAAAATGCCAGAAATAACTTGGTTGACTTCTATTAACCTGTGTAAGGGCCTAACCTCATGTGCATCCCACATAGAATTGTTGTGTAAAATACTCTACCTCTGGTACATGGTCCCCACTGTCCTGGAGACCATATGCCTTGTCCTTGCTCTCTGCTTGTTTCTTGTTGAGCATGAAAGAGCCGGAGGCTCCGCTCCCTTTGACATGGACTAGAGTTTCTTTAGTCACCAAGCCCTTGAGAGCCAGCTTGAGGTGGCTGTTATTCTTGTCCACATAGTAGCCAGAGGCGGCCAAAGCCTTCTTCAGAGTTGGCAGGGAAACCCCACGGAGCTCTTTAGAAGCGGACACTGCTTTGACAATGAGCTCGGACATGCTAGGACTGGATGGCTTATCAGCTTTCTTGGGGCCGGATGCTTTCTTAGGCTGTTTCTTTTTGTAGGCGCTTTCAACCGCAGGTGCAGCAGCGGGTGCAGGGGCAGCTTCAGACATGGTCACTCGCTACTCTCTATGAAGATCAGACAATTGGAGGAGCAGACTATATTTAAAAGAAGAAAAACTACCACAACAAGAGGACATCGTCTTCAATTAGAGGGGCAAAGGTTTAAAAATAATAAAACCCGGAAGTATTACTTTACTGAGAGGGTAGTGGATGCATGGAATAGGCTTCCAGCTGAAGTGGTAGAGGTTAACACAGTAAAGGAGTTTAAGCATGCGTGGGATATGCAGAAGGCTGTCCTAACTATAAGATAAGGCCAGGGACTAATGGAAGTATTTAAAAAAATTGGGCAGACTAGATAGGCCAAATGGTTCTTATCTTCAGTCACATTCTACGTTAATATGTTTCTATGTTTTTTCACCCTTCCCCCCTTTTTTTCTTTTCTGTACCCTCTATGTTTTTGATAACTGACAAAATAAAAATTTTCAAATTGAAAAACATTTAATGTGTTTACATCAGAAATAAATAGAAAATGTTGCAATATAAATGCATAAATTAGGATGGTCCACGATTAAGATTCAAAAAAACAAGAGACAATTAAGACACAATTATTGAGGTGCTGTGACAAAATTATGAATGATTAATAAGGATGTGCATGGGGAAGATTTTCAGTTCGGTTTGGCATTCCGAAATTCGGGACTTTAGCAATTTGGCACTTTGGCACTTTGGAACTTCGGCAACTTTGGAACTTCGGCACTTTGGAATGTCGTAATTTCGGAACTTCGGCATTTCGGAATTTCGGTACTTCAGCACTTCGGGACTTCTCTTGCAGCTGCTTATTAGATAACTCCCTAATTCCCACGGTATTAGGGAGTTTTCTACCAAAAGGCTGAAAGACCTAAATTGGTCTTTCAGCCAAATTTACTAATACTAAGTAAAGATTACTTAGTATTAGTAAACTCTGACCCTACTCGCTATACCGCGAGTAGGGGCAGGTCAATTAACCAATCAGAGTGTTGCTATGAGTCAAATTACACAGTGTGGGAAAATTCCAAAGAACTTTCCCACGCTGTGTAAAATGACATAGAGCACTCTGATTGGCTGGATTTCAAGCTAACCAATCAGAGTGCTGTGACAGGTAAATATGGAGACTTACCTGTCAGTCTCTACATTTACCTTTCAGAGCACTCTGATTGGATGGCTTAAACCAACCAACAAGAGTGCTCTGAGCCTAACTGCAGGGTGGTGCAAGGCTTTATAAGAGACTCCTGCGCGGAGCCCTCCATGGGTGAAGATGGATTATTTTTTTGGCACTCTGGTTTTTTTTTCTCAAAGTGAGACAGTTATTATGGATTTTTATTTGGCCTTTTTTTGGGGCTGAAAAAATAAGATTTTAGAAAAGTAGACATGAAATGGTAAGTTTTTTTTTTTTTACAGGTACCTAGTCATTGGTCCCCCCTCATTATTTTAAGGGTGAGGGGGGTAGGTAGGGTTTAATAAATATTTTGGGGAGGGGTGACTAGGGGCTTGGGGACCCCTAGTCACCTGGGGGGTTACATTTTTATTTAGGGCCTCCACCCACCGCTCAGGGGTGGGGGCCAGAGGATAGGACAATAGGTCCTCCCTTATTGGTATTTAGGGCCCCCACCCACCACTCAGGGGTGGGGGCCAGAGGATAGGACAATAGGTCCCCCCATTCTATTTAGGGCCCCCACCCACCGCTCAGGGTTGGGGGTCAGGGGAAGGACAAAAGGTCCCCCCCTTATTGGTATTTAGGGCCCCCCCGTCACTCAGGGGTGAGGACAGGGGGGAGGACAATAGGTCCCCCCATTATTTTACTTTAGGGCCCCCACACGCCACCCAGGGGTGGGGGCCAGGGGGAGGACAATAGGTCCCCCCCTTATTCTAATTTAGGGCCCCTACCCACCGCTCATGGGTGGGGACCGGGGGGAAGACAATAGGTCCCCCCATTATTTTACTTTAGGGCCCCCACCTGCCACTCAGGGGTGGGGGCTGGGGGACAATAGAAGCCCCTACTTGCGCAGCACAGGTGGGGGCTCAGGAGGGGAGACACAGTGTTTTTTGATTTGCTTTTTTATTACAGACATTATAAAATAGAACTTAATAAAGATATGTTTAAATTTTAGTCCATACTCTATACTGTGTGCCCCTTGAGTCACCTCTACCACTCTGGATATACCTGGGGAAATTTTTAGAGGAACGGCTGGTTGCCCTTTACTCTTTCAATCCTCTGAGGAACTTTTCTTCATAATTAATCAATTCAGGGTTTATGACCGCTATTACCCATATAGTCCTTTTGTTTGTTGACTTTAGGGTCAAGTTGTAACTGACCCCTAAGTTTGCATTCTCGCTTCTTCTCAACACCTTTGTAGATGGGACCTGATTTTTTGGGGGGGATTCCCTGTTTTTCGCTTGATTGGTTTCAGACTTTGATCTCAGACCTTCCCTGATTTTTGCAGTCTGACTTTATACAGACTATATACTGAAGGTGTGCCTATTATATTTTGAGGTTTCTAGGGTTACATATCGGGTCACCGTATGCATTAATACTGAGGAATATATCTAGTATCACCATATTGCAAGTGACTTTATCTTGTCCTCGCATGTATGTGACTTTAGGGTCAAGTTGTAACTGACCCCTAAGTTTGCATTCTCGCTTTTTTCCAATATTCTAATTTACTGAGATTGTGGATTTGGGGTTTTCATGAGCTGTAAGCCATAATCATCGCACTTATGATAAATCACGGCTTGAACTATCTTGCTTTGCATGTAATGCGTCTATCTCATATAATAGTTTCCCCTTTTACGTTACATTACTGAAATAAATGAACTTTTGCACGATATTCTAATTTTTCGAGTGTCACCTGTAAGCTGTTGGATGCCATTTCCATTTTACTGCAATTAAACATTACTTAGAGCACTACATCTCTTTACATTATACACACATGTATGAAATTAAGTACTACTGAATAAAAAAAAAAATTAATGCAGATTTGACTTTGCCCTAGTAAAACAAACAAAATACACTCACTTTTAATAGAGCATAATAATATACCATATTCTGGACCAAAAGCCCACATCTTATGCCAAGACATGGCTTCAAATCATATATGAATATGTTCTTTTATGAAATAATAAAACAGAGTATTCGTGCCAGACATGCTTTTGAATGAAATACAAAAAGAGCACACTTTGAAAATGTGTCTCAGGCAAATATGTTCAATGATTAAATGTAAATACTCTGAATCACAATATGTGATAATTTTTAAACAAACTACAAAATCAGAGTTATACACTAACTTGAATATTCAAAGTGAATTTTCAATTTAAGATCAAAATATCTGAACTGATAGAAATCTGCAGGTTAGCTATGCTGTGATTTTGGCTTCTCTGGTCTTAAGTTTGAAAATTGTATCTGTGAACAATTGACACATATCAATTTTTTTGTATTTTTAATTGGAGCATGATTTAAAGTGCAGTAAGTGAGGCATTATGGACAGGGCAAGGATTTTTGGCCATACAGGCGAATATACATTTTGCCCCCCACCCCTAAAATATGTATCCTCACCTATGTGCCTTGTAACACCTCTTTTGAATTTCCTACTCCCTTTGGTGTTACATATCCCCTCTTGAATGTGTTATCCCTGTGTGTGTTACACTCCCTTTAGTGTCTTACACCCCCCTGTGTCTCTTACTTGCCCACCAGCCCCTTTCTGTGTCACAGTGCTTTAGTGTGGGGGATAGGGGCAGAATTGTGTGGGATAGGAACTTTATTACTATTATAATATATATATATATATATATATATATTGCGCCAATAATTTTCTCCATCGCCCGCCCATCATATGACATATGACATCATATTCCAGCTCCCAGGACCTCTACAGGGCGCGTGAGGGAGCTATACAGGAAATGTGGATCTGGATGAGAGGTCACTCGCGCGCCCTATCCTACTGCGCCAGGCTGCGGGGGTACTGGCACTCGGCCATGCTACAGTAAATGACTGTCAGGAGAGGAGAGGAGCACTTCTCTCCTGCCGGTCAACTGAATATTTGCGCCCCTCTGCCTCCCCCCCCCCCCGGGCCAGAGCGCCCTGTGCTGCCTTATAGTAGCGCCGGCCCTGATTATGGACATGGAACATTATCATACAGCATAATTGTGGTATTATATTACTTTAACTTTTTTCTCTGGTAACAACAGTGCCAGTAATATACTTGATCTATTAATTAAAGGTTTTTGAAGTAGAGGAAGAATAGGAGACAATAATGGACCAAAATAGCCGAACTAGAAGAATAGCTCTTTTGGAGAATCTTTCTAATTCAGTTAATTTGGTCTTAAATGGGAAAATCTTGCTTAATTTATCTTTGAATTCCTGGCAGTTTGCACTTCAGTAAATATTCCTGAGTGACATCCTATTATAAAGTAGAAAAGCTTAAGGCACTTGCAAGGTTAAATTTCAGTCAGATTTATTGGAACAAAAAAAAATGTTACAGGGCAACATTTTGACCAAGGTCTTTGTCAAGCTAACACCACAGGGAACACACTGAATATACAGTATATACACAGAAATTAGTGCAAAGTAGAATACATTTAATGCAAAATAAAGCAATCAAAGTGACTTATAATTTACATCTTACTGTCATCTGTAAAAGGATATTGAAGGCAGCCAATAGAATACAGAAGCATATAAAATAAATAAAAAAATATAAAGAAAATAAAGTGAAAAACACAAATAAGAGCCCAAGGAATGGGTGAAAGGCAAAAATTGGTGCTATGAAGGTGGAACTCAAACCAGAAATGCATTACTATCAGGGAAACGTGAGGGTCAAATTTCAATAATTTAAAAAGGCCCAAAGTGCCAAAAACGAAGTACCACCAAAGAGCAAGGCTATGACTTAGACGTAAATAAATAAAAGAAGCGGTGCCTCTAAGTGCATCCATGTTTGGTGTAACACACACAACAGACCTAACTCGACAGGCACCTATGGCGCCTTAAAAAGGCAAGTTGCAACACCACCTACTACAGCACATG